CACCAGCGGTCCCCATGCTGCACGCGTACCTGCGGCCTCGGCTCATCCCCATATGTGGCCATGAGCCCACCGCCCAGGGTCTCCAGGTACCCAGGGCCGCAGAGCACCACAAGCAGAGCCCCAGGAGCTCGTGGGACACGGGCATTGCTGAGGAGCCTCGCCACACAGCGGCTGCCATGGAGCTGCCACGTGCCAGGAGCAGCAGCAGGGCGCGATGCGGTCCCTTACCCACAGCCACAGCCGCGCTCCCCAGCCCCAGGCTGCCCCACGCTTACTGGAAGAGGAAGCTGCTGGGAAGGCAGCGTGTGCGGCAGGGGAGCCTCGGGGAGGAGAGGCGCGGGGAGCCGGCAGAGTGCGGCCGGCCCTGCTCCCAGGTCCAGGGCCAGTAACGGGAAGCGCCTGCTCTCAGTGACGGTAAATCAGATCGGGGAGATTAGAGGCCTTTTTGCCTAATCATGAGCGGCTTGAAGTTGGAGGACAAGTTCCTGGAACAAAGAGGAAATGGAGGCAGTAAATAAAGAAAAACTGTTAACATGTGGCCCTGTGTGTGAAAAACGTCTCCGTGAAGGACTGTTTATGGCTCACTCATCGGCAGGGTGACAGCTGCACTGAGCTGGAGGCTGTGGGGGCTCCAATGCAGGGCCTGGAGTTGGGCAATGAAGGAAAAGGGCAGCGGCAGCATGGGCAGTGCACTGGGGACATGGCACAGGGAGGTGCAAGGGGAGGGATGGACACCTGCACCCAACCCCAGCGCTGGCTGGAAGCTGCTGAGTGTTACAGGGTGCTCCCCACAGAGCCCTGAAGGACGGCTCCGTCCTGCACAGCATCCCATGTGTGGCCTCCTGCCCGATGGGATGAGGCAGGGGTCTCACTGCCATTCTGTGCACGTGCTCCATTGTGCACCACATGGGTTGATGCCAGCAGCCAGATGCCCACGGATCCCCCTTCCCGGTGCCAGGAAAAAGTGCTGAGCATCGCAGCACTGCCCACAGCTGACACCAGCACGGCCCTGAGCCACGAGCACCCGGCAGTGCCACAGGGCCGCGTGTCAGCTGTTTGCAGGGCAGATGCAGCCAGAAGCTGGAGCCGATTCCCATCAGCAAAGGTCACTCCGTGCCTTTCCCGTCAGCAGCGCAGCAGCAGCCATCGCCATTGAACGCACAGCTCCGTGTGCGCGCAGAGCCGCAGCACGTGGCCGGCCAGGGGCTGGCAGCCCTGTGCTCCCCGGGATCTGCCAGCGGGGCAGGGGCACGCTGAGCACATTGCACCGAACGGTGCCTGCCCTCAGCCCCAGCCTGCCCCCGGCACAGAGGCGTGGGCTGGGGAGGGTGCTGCGGGCGGGCGCCCCGGGGTCCTTTCGGGGTCCCGAGCGGCAGCAGCGGGGCGACCGGCTGCACTCGGCAGCGCCCACAGGAGAGCTGGGACGGGGACCCTGCCGCGGGCTCGGTGTGCCGCCACGCCGCGGCCCCGCCGGGGGGAGAGCACGACTGCGGGCAGCGGAGCCGGGCCCGATCCCGGAGTGGACTACGTGCCCCGGGAGCCCTTGCGGCGGGGCGGTCCCAGCGGTCCCGGCGGTCCCGGCGATGCTGGCGGCGCGGGGCGCGGGGGCTGCGCTCCGCCGGGCGCTGTTGCACGGAGCGGGGTCCCGCAGTGGCGGCGCGGCCATGGCGGGGGACGGCGGGACCGGGGGCGGCGCGGGGTCGCCGCGGGGCGGAGCGGCGCTTGGGTGCGTGCGGAGGTCGCGGCCGGGCCCCATTCGGGGGGGGGGGTGCTGTTCCCGGGGCAGGAAGAGGTGGTTCGGGTTCGGTTCGGCGCAGCGGGGGGGAAAAGGGGGTGAGGGGTGGGCAGCCTCTCCCCAGCAGCACGGACCACCCCTTCTCTGGCTTTCCCCGCAGGCGCCCGCAGCACGTGGTGGATCTGCGCAGCGACACCGTTACGCGGCCCGGCCCCGCTATGCGCAGTGCCATGGCCCGGGCCGCCGTGGGGGACGACGACTACGGCGAAGACCCCACGGTCAACGGTGAGCGCGCGGCCGGCAGCCCTTGCTGCACTGTCGCACTCCCCGGGCCGAGCCAAAGGCTGTGCTGGGGAGGAGATGTATGGAGCACACAGGGCTGTAGTCCAGACCTCTTTCCCACTCTTGTTCTGCACGTTTCCTCTATTCAGAGCTGCAGCAGCTGGCTGCGAGGATCTTGGGAATGGAGGATGCCCTTTTTGTACCCACGGCTACAATGGCAAACCTTATTGCAGGTGAGTACCCAGTGCTGCTCTCCCTGCCCTACATACCTGGGGTTGGTTTATGCCCCCCCAGTGAAGGATGGAGAAGGTACAAGCAGTCCCAGACCTCTCTGGGGGAGCCCTGGTCCTGCTCAAAAAGCTGCTATGCTTTCCACCCTGATGGCCGCAGGGCTGGGGGAGCGGCAGCTTCCGCACCTCCACCAGGAGCAGACCCTGCATCACGCTCAGCCCCATGCACATGAAAGCTGTGGCACTGCAACACCACTCTGGGGCCATTCTCCCTCTAGCCACTGCAGACAAGTGACCCCCTTCCTGCCGGGGGGGGGGGGCACCCAGCCCCACACTCACACATTGTGCTCACTCCCCTCTTCTCTCAGTGATGTGCCACTGCCAGCGCAGAGGGGCCCAGCTGCTGCTGGGTGCCCAGGCCCACTTGCACATCTATGAGCACGGCGGGGCTGCACAGGTGGGTGCTGCGCTGCTGGGGAAGTGAGGGGATGCCCCGGGGCAAACAGCGGCTTGCTGCTGCCCTCCTCTGGCAGCAGGAAGGTCCCCTTCGGGTCTGTGACAGCATCACCCGAGCCACGACTGGGGCTGATGGACTGGAGACTGAGGGACAGCGGACGGCAGGGCAACCTCCCTCCAGCTCTGCTGCCTGCGCAGGTCGCAGGGGTCCACTCACAGGCTCTGTCAGACCTTCCTGACGGCACCTTGGATCTGGAGCAGCTGGAGCTGGCCATCCGTGAGGCCCATGGCAGCCGCTACCACCCCCGCCCTGAGCTCATCTGCCTGGAGAACACGCACAGCTCAGCAGGCGGCCGGGCGCTGCCTCTCACCTACCTGCAGCAGGTGGGAGCTGCCGGCGGGGCTGGGGGTCCTCACGGCCCAGCACAGCTCACAGCAGCTGCACCCCCACTTAGGTACGCCTGCTGGCTGAGCGCTACGGGCTGCGGGTGCACGTGGATGGAGCACGGCTGATGAATGCAGCGGTGGCCCAGGCCGTGGAGCCGGCCCGCATCACCCAGCACTGCGACTCCGTGTCCCTGTGCTTCTCCAAGGTGAGCTCACACAGGGAGCCCGGGGCGGGGACACGGTGCTCAGGCTGCGGGCAGCGCTCACACCACCTTCCTGGATCTGCAGGGCCTCGGTGCCCCGGCTGGGGCAGTGCTTGCTGGATGCCGGGCATTTGTGGCGGAGGCCTGGAGGGTGCGGAAGCTGCTGGGAGGTGGGATGAGGCAGGCGGGCGTGCTGGCGGCTGCTGCCCGCATCGGGTTGGAGCAGGCAGAGGAAACGCTGCGCAGAGACCACGACAACGCCCGCCGCTTCGCTCAAGGTAACTCAGCTTCCTCGGGACATTTGGTGCCCTCAGCATAAACTCGCTCCCCTGCAGGTTCAGTGCGCAGCTGCAGAGCCGGGTCCTGTTGCAGATGCAGTGCCTGAGCAGCCTCCTGCTGGAGCACTGAGCTGGCAGCCTGACAGCCTGCACCTCCACAGGCATCCAGGAGCTGAATTCACCTCTTTGCTCTGTCAGCCTGGCGGCTGTAGAGACGAACATCGTGATGGTGGAAGTGAAGGGGCTGCCCCCAGCAGAGCTCTGCACATACCTGCAGGCAGTGAGCGAGGAGGAGCTGGCTGAGACGGGCTGCACTGTCAGCGTCCTGCTGTTCCCCTGGTCGGAGCGCACTGTCCGTGCGGTCTGGCACTGTGATGTCTCAGCCCATGACACTGAGCTCGCTCTGAACAAGCTGGGCTTTGTGGCCAGAAAGTGTCAGGAGAAGCTGGCCCAGGGCCGGGGCCCCGGTCCTCGTGGCACAGGAGAGCACTGAGTGCCTCCTCCCAGCCCCGTGGGAGAGCCATCCCTGCTGGGCTGCAGCAGGCAAGCATGTGGGCTGGGGCAGCTGCTGGCAAAGGGGCTGGGACCTCCCACAGCGTGCTCCAGGCATGTTCCCAACCAGCTGCAGCACCATCTCCACCCCTGCAAGCCAGCATGCAAGCCCAACCCTAGGGAGACCGCAGTTCACAGCTTCCCAAAAGAGCACCACACCTCCTGGGGCAATTTCTTTCCCAGACGTGCCCACAGCTCACACCACCAGCCTGGCCATGCCAAGGCCGCTTGCCATCCAGCATGTGCCATCCCAAGCACTCCAGTCCTCAGCCCACAGCAGCTGGGACTGCCACGGCCCACACCACACAGCCAAAGTAGGACAAGCAGCATCCAGGGCCTCTGGGTCATGCTGCACAGGAACAGGAAGAGTTCTCTACAGCCTTCTGTGCTCAGCACAGTTCTTACTGGTCTAGTGAGGCAACTGAGGTCTAAATAAACATTTTTTGGCAATGCAGAATGTTTTTTTCCCCCCAAAGATGCTCCTCCCCTTACTCTGCAGCATGGATGCTGCCAAGGCCAGGAGGTCTCCATGGAAGAAGTGCTCCTGAGAACATGCAGGTGCCTCACAGACACAGGAACAGGGCTACTTCCCAGCAGCAGAGCTCCTGTCTGACCAGGGCTGTCCCAGGCACAGCCCTGCCTGCCTGCAGGCAGCTCCTGTAACTGCTGCTGTTGCACCCCGTGACAGTGGCTGTGTTGCTGCAGGGCCCCTCTGTCCCATGTGCACAAAGAGCTGAGTGGTGCTCTCCCTACTGCCTGACACAGAACTGCCCTCCTCAGGACCCAAGCTCTGCCACAGAGCAGCTTCTCTATGCATCAGCTAAGTATGCTCAATAGCTGAGCACAGTTACACGTTCCCAAGATTTCCACCCAGGCAGCACTTATTCCTATTTTATTTTGTATTGGCAATTAGCAGCTTCAAGGAACAAACTTCAACATCCAGTCAGCAGACAGACCCACAGCAGGCAGTCAGCTCTGCTCACCACAGATGGCCCAGCTCAGAGAACATCCACGAAGCACAGGAACACCTCAATGAAGGAATATCATCACTGACACTAGCCTGTGCTAACTGGAGCTCTCCTGCTGTGAGGGCATGCTGCTGGCAGGCTGGGAGGAGCAGTGGAGGCTCATCTGCCCCTTACAGAACCAAAAATGGTATCTTGGAGCAGCAACTGCCGTGTGCCACAGGGGCCCCAATGGGCTGGAAAGAGAAAACAAGGACAAGCACAGGGCAGAGTGCATGAAGGCTGTCTGTCACTGCACAGGGCTGAGGTTTCCATCTCCAGTTTGTTCCAACATGTCATCAAGCTCTCGCAATCATGTTCAGAATCACCTGGCATGAGGAACCGAATGCTGTGAATGGTGCCTGGCCCCACAGCGCCTCACGCTGGGGGAAAACACCCATTGCAACTGCCCTCCCTCCCGGCCTGGCAGCTCTGAGCTGTACTCAGGACAGCAAAAGGTGGTGGCTGCAGGAGAGAGCCTCTCCCCCTTACCTGAGTGAGGACATAAGTTTCCTCTGACAACTTCTCAATGATGTCAAAGTGATCCACGCTGGCAAGATCCAACAAAGAGACAGACCAACCAGCTAAGCGCAGAGCCTGTGGACAGATCAGTGCTGGCAGGGGGAACCCCAGCTGGGCCCCACAGCACAGCATGAGCAACGGCTCAGCAAGGACCAGCATTCTCCCCTGATGAGGGTGGTCATCACACCAGCAGCAGAAATACTACTCTGATACAGCACGTGAGCTCTTAATCACCAGAGCTGACTGGAAGAAAGAGCTGGGCCCAATGGCAAGAAGAGGCACCTTCCCAAAGCAGGAGGCAGTCCTGATTCAGCAGTGCAGCCAGCCCCACTCTCTTCTTTGCAGCTCTGCATTACCAGCTCAGAAATCTCCAAGCCAGAGCCCGCTTCACTTAAGGGTTTGCAGAGGGTGCAGAGCAGGTCTAAGTAGGGCAGCCCACACAGCATCCCTGCATAGCTCACCTGGCTGTACTCCTGTGACTGCCTGCGGAACTCCGGGGAGTCATGCTGGGCCACAGCCACAAGCACCTCACAGGATGCAGCCACAGGCACTGCTTGTGTGACACACAGGATGGGGCTGTTCCTCTGGGCCACTTCCCTGGGGAGGAGACACTGCAGTGACAGCCAGTGTGTGCCTGTGTGCACCCCCACACCTCAGCAGCACGCACCAGCAAGACAGAGGGTGCAGGGCCTGCATGCATGGGCAGAGCAGGCTGCAAAGCTGTTGGTGTTTGCCCACAGGCTGTGCTGACCAAAGCCACACATGCTCACAAGCTGCCCGTGCCCTTTTCCATATGCTTTTCCTACCACAGACGGACTCACAGGCTCATGTTCAGTGCATCATTCACGTAGGTGTGCAGAAGGGGCTCCAGGTCATACACACCGCTCACCAGAACAGCTCCTGCAAACACAGATGTGGTGGGTGAGTGTCTCTGCAGTTCAGGCCTCCTCATGCCTAAGTCCCCATGGCTCTAGAGCAATAGAGGGAGGCTGCTGGGCTGCACCAGGAGCTCAGATTCTTCTTCCCCCAGGACATGCAAGATGCAACCAGCTGAAGTAAGTGATCAGCTTAACAGATTGCAGAATAGTAAAGCAGAAGACGCCCAGGTGCAGCCCCCTGGTGCTGAACACCAGCCCTCCAGAACAGGGGTCTCTAAAGGCACTACCTCTGATATCTGGAACCACTCCAAATTCTGTCCAGTCTGTGGACAAGACCATGGCTGCCAGGTGAGCCCCTGCTGAGTGCCCACACAAGTAAATACCCCTAGAGAGAAAGAGCCATAAGCACGAAGAAAGAGCGCGTCACATGCTGGGGACATCCCAGTTGCAGTGCCCCAGGAGCTGCAGACTGGCCATATTTCCCAGTCCACCAACTGAGCCATTGTACAGTGAGAAAGGATTGCAGTCAGTGGTGCTGCACCAAGGCACTGAGGTCTTAATCATAACTCAGGGCTCCCCCATCCTGTTTCTGTCACAGCCACCCCCATGCAATAATCCACCAGGGAGCAACAGGGACACAATCTGTCTGAGACCAGACAGAAGCAGTAGAGGCTGTTGGCACAGGAAACAGGGACACCGGGCACTGCATGCTGCCCACCTGATCCTGTGGTATTGCTTCACCAGGAAGGCAAGGCTGCGTCGCACCTGGAGCACCATTGCATCCATGTGACCTGAGCAGAGTGCAGAGCCAGATGGGCACCAGGCCACCGGGGGAAGTCATGCCCCCTATTGGGCCCTGCCTACCTTTGGGAGCAATGTCGTAACCCATGGCCACCACTGCAATGCCCTGTGACAGCAGCGCAGGGGCTGCGAAACCCGACGCGTCCTTACTGTGGGGGGGCAGAGAGAGAGAAGCTGCCGAGCTCCAGGGGACAGACAGATGTCCTCATGGAGCTGGCTGGGATGGCCATTGGGTCCAGGATACCAAAGTCTGGGTTTAGTGTTGTTCTCTAGAGAAGGAAGATGTAAAGGAAGCCTGGGAACTCCCTTCTCAAGGGAGCCCATATCAGAAGTCTGTCTTACCTCAAGCACTGCCAGTATCCACCATGGATGTAGACAAAGACCGGGAAAGCTGCACAGCACAGCACAGGTAAGCACACAGACATGACCTCACCCCCCAGTCACCGTGCTCACCACCTACTTTCATTAGAGTCCGCAGGAAAATAAATATCGAGCTTCTCCCCATCCCCATCTCCATAGGGGACGTGCAGCGAGGTCTGTGCAGCAGCCTGGGCCTTCTGCGTTCCTGTGGAGCCGGGGAAGAATCAGCCCGCAGACCGTACGCAGCACCGCAGCTCCGTGCTGAGCTCTGCAGGCCCGGGTTGGGGCCGTGCCCATTTCGGTGCTGCCCGCCGGGCCCGGCCGCGCCCCCCACCTGCGGTCATCACATCGATGTGGGCCTGGATGACGCTCTCGCTGTCCATACGGCGGGACCAGCGGCTGGGCGAGTATTGCTCCTCCAGCTCCTGCGGGCACACGAACGCGGGGCTGCACGGAGGGGGCGGCCGGACCCGGGGCACGAAGCAGGAGGCTTCAGCCCGGCCAGACCCCGCGCCCCGCACCTCCAGATCCATGTCCTGCCACCGTCCCATCTTCTCTTCAACCACCCGGCTCCGCTGCCGCTGGCGACCGGGCCGGGTCGGGGCACTGGGCGGGGCCGCCCCTTGGCCATTGGCCGCCGGGTGTCGGGTCAGGCCGGGCAGCGGGGCCGAGCTGAGGCCTCTGACCCAGCGGACGAAGCGATGACGACAGAGCCCCGCGCGAGGCACGCCGGGAAGGCAGCTCGCTCCGTGGGAGCGCGGCGAGAAATGAGAATTCTCCCGCCTGCGCCCGGATTGGTCGGCGCTGCGGGGATAACTCTGCTCGGATTGGCCGGCGGCGGCGATCCATGGGCGCGAGGCTGTCGCGGATTGGCCGGTCCGGCGGCGCGCGCGCGGGCTGTGAGTCGTTCAGTCAGTCAGTCGGTCGGTCGGTCGGTCGGTCGGTCTGTGAGCAGCGGCGCGGCCATGAGCTGTCTGACCGTGCCCGGCGTGCATCCCGGCTCACCCAGCCGCCCGCGTGGGCAGATCCAGGTACCGGTCGGGGCGGGGCCGCTGGGTGCGGGCGGAGCCGGGATTGGTGGGGCCGGGTCCGCTGCGAGGGGATGCCGAGTTCCGGGGCTGCGCGGCACCGGTAATGGAGGGCCGGGCCGGGGGATGTTTCGGTGCCGCGGCTGTGCGGGGCGGCCGTGGGGGCCGGGTGGGGGCTGAAGCGCTGCAGCGGGGCGATGGCAGTCCGGCATCTCACCACTGACCGTGTGGCTCTGTCTCCAGGTGATCTTCGGCCCCATGTTCTCTGGGAAGAGGTAAGGCGGGGCGGGATGGGCTGGGCTGCAGCAGGCTGTGGCTGGGTCTGCTGACTCCTGCTCTCGCAGCACAGAGCTCATGCGGCGCGTGCGGCGCTTCCAGCTCGCTCAGTACCGGTGTCTGCTGGTGAAATACGCCAAGGACACCCGCTACTGCACCACCGGCGTCTCCACACATGACAGGTGGGCTATGGGCAGGAGGATCTGTGCCCGTGGACCTGTGGCTGGGCTGCCTGGCTCATCCTCTCCTTCTGTTCCCCTTCAGGAACACTATGGAGGCCCGCCCTGCCTGTGCCCTTAAGGATGTGTACCAGGAGGCTCTGGGCTCTGCGGTCATTGGCATCGATGAAGGGCAGTTTGTAAGTGTGTGGCCTGGGGTGTGCACTGCTAGACCTGGAGCAGAGCACTGCCCCTTCTTCCTCCTGAAGCTGCTGTTTCTGTACCTCTTGTAGTTCCCAGACATTGTGGAGTTCTGTGAAAAGATGGCCAACGCTGGGAAAACCATCATTGTTGCTGCTCTTGATGGGACTTTCCAGAGAAAGGTAGAAATGCTTTAGTTTTAGTACAGCAGCTGCACTGGGAACCTCACCAGACTCAACTAACAATACAGCCTCTGTCTCGATGCAGGCTTTTGGGAGCATCCTGAACCTGGTCCCGCTGGCTGAGAGCGTGGTGAAGCTGAACGCTGTGTGCATGGAGTGCTACCGAGAGGCCTCCTACACAAAGAGGCTGGGAGCAGAGAGGGAGGTAAGTTCCCTTGGAACACAAAGCACTATAGCAGCTCCACCTTGCCAGCTCTGCTAGTCTAGAAAGGATCTTCTCAGGTAAGCTGATCTCTGCAGAGTCATTCTTCTGATTTCCTTGATAGGTTGAAGTGATTGGAGGAGCAGACAAATACCACTCTGTCTGCCGAGCTTGCTACTTCCAGAAGAGGCCTCAACAGCTTGGGTCAGAAAACAAGGAGAACGTGCCCATGGAGGTGAAGCAGCTGGATATGCCAGCCTCACGGAAGATCTTTGCTTCTTGATTGCTACACTCCAGTGTGGGGGGGGGGGGAAGGAGAGGATACAAGGAAAGAAGCTAAAAGTTGCAGCTCCTGGACTTCAGATCTGGCTTCCCCTCCCTTTATCAAAACTGTTAAATGCCATAGCTCTACCTACCAAACCAAGCTGCTCTTCCTCTGCTCCAAGTGCCAGGAAAGAGGGCAATCAGCTGGACCTGATGCCAGGGAGAGCTGAAAACAGAGTCTGACTAAAAGGGAGTTGCTTTCCCAGAACGTGGAAAAGAGATTTAATTACTGATGCTGCCATACAAACATGCTGGAAAGCTGCCACACCAACCCAGGCTGTGGGGCACTGACAGCTTGCTTGGTCTGCCCTCCTGCTCCTGGCACATGTTCAGACTCACCACCGGTAGCCAGGTAACTTGCCTGCAAACAGCCTTTTCTGTGTGCTGCTGCTAAATTCTGGGTTTCTTACAACAGCATACAGTAACTTGGCTTCTGAAAGCCACTTCCTTTTTAATACAGCCTGAGGAGATGCCCCTTCCCTTGCTATGCAACAGTGGCACAACTTCGACTGACACAGAGCAGCAGCCTGGCCCTTTGCAGTCTCTTAACAATTGTGTATAGCCAATTAGCTTGCTGTTAAATTTGCTGTAAATACATAGTTCTTGTTTTTGTTTTGTTTTTAAATGGAGGAGGGAAGAAGGAAGGCTTGTCAGCCTGACTCCTAGGCTCATTCTAGCCTTTGAAATTAAAAAGGATTTTCTACACAAGTTCAAGCAACATGCAGCCACTTCATAGGGCTTAAGTGACCTGAGGAAGTTTGGGGGAATCAGGAATTAAACTGTAGAGAGTTGGGCTACTGCTCCTCTGAAGATCCAGCAACCTGGGAACGGGTCTCCTTTGTATAAAGTGCTTTTTCTCATCAGATTCCTTGAGCTCTGAGCAGTAGCTCTTGGTTCTGTTTGGGCTTTGTCAATCCTCTCTCAAACACAGTGCTCTCTACAATACTTGTTTACTACTGTGCTGAGGAGCAGGCAGCTGCCCTCAAAGACTCTGAAACCCCACTTCCTTTGTGTTAACTAAAGCAATTGCAGCCATGGTGTTCACAAACCTTTGTCAGGCCTGGGCCTTCATTCTAGGCATGAGGAACAGGCAGTAGTGCTTGTATTCTAGATTAATAAATAACTTAATAAAATTGCCTGTGTCTTTTCAGAGCAGTCTGGTGTGTGGCTTTCCTGCTCACAAAGCAGCAGTGTGTGCTGGCTGCTGGTCACACGGCACTGATGTTGCTCAGGCTGTCCTGAGGAGCAGCAAGCCTTGCTAAAAATAGGTGCTGGCGTGAGCTTGTTGTTGATAGCACAACAGGCACCAGCTCCACAGCTGCCCCCCAGCACACAGCACAGGGGAAGAACCCAGTTCTTCAGAGAAGAAACACAGGTGGTGGCTAGGTGAAAAAGTTTATTCCATTTCTACAGTGATAAAGGCATAGCTGAATATCAGCCCCAGCAGCTACAGCTCACATACCTCACGCTGCTGCTGGGAACAGCTTCACAACAGGCACAGCAGCACACAACCTGAGACAAAGCCACGGCCCACGCGGAGGCACAGCACGGCACCCAGCCTGGGGCAGTGGCTGCTGAGCAGGGCACAGCTTGGACAGCAGCGAGCAGGGCATGGGGAGACCCAGCAGGGTTCAGTGGGAGACAGACACAGGGTCTGCAGTTGGCAGGGAGATGCTCTGGGGGAAGGGAGCTGCCCTGCCGTGAGCCCAGCACCCACCACTCCCACAGATCCCAAACCAATGAGTGCCAGCTGCTCCCGTGCAGGCTCTGGGGAAGGCACAGCACAAAGGTGCATATTCAGGAGATGAGGCTTTGGCATCAAGCTCAGCCAGCAGCAGCTGAAGGAGGAGAGGAAGGCACGCAAACCCAGTGGCAGGCAGGAGCTGGACTGCACCATGCAGCTGTGCTGGGACAGATGCTACAGCAGTTAAAGGTGGCACCTGGGGACTGCAGTCAGCAGAGCTGGCCAAGGCAGCAGCACCGGGAGGGAACAAGGGGTGCTCACCATTACTCCCCCAAAGGCACAGCAGTGAGGCTCGGGCTCTGCCACTCCAGAGCACCAACCCTCCACCCCCCATGGGAGCTGGCTGTGCACAGCAGGTTCTACTCAGCCATCACTGCTTCACAGCAGGGAGCACACAGCCCCACCACAGGCACCAGGCCCTACCCTCTGCCCTGGCATCCACCCAACCCCCAGTGGTCTTCACACAAAGCAACCATCACCCTCCTGCCCTCTTCCCCATTCAAGTTATAGGTCCCTCCCTTCCCACCCCACGAGAGAAAATTGCACTTGTACAGCCATCCCTGCGGGCTGGGTTCAGTACACCGGTGGTGGCTGGTAGCCCTCGGTGGCATCTGTGGTCTGGGTGAAGGGCGGCTGCTGGTAGCTGTCGTGGCTGATGTTGGGGTAACTGGAGTACGGCGTGGAGACCTCTGACGAGGGGTCGACGTAGCTGTGCGCAAAGTCCTCCACCCCCATCTTATACCTCTTGTAGGCAAAGGCGATCAGGAGACCCTGCAGAAAGCAGAGCCCGTCAGAGCCTGGCACGAAGCAGAAGACCCCTGCAGAGCCCCCTCAGCACTCACCCATGAGAAGATGGAGAAGAAGCTGAAGGTGATGGCAGCACGCGCCGAGTCAGCCACGATGTGTACATCCTCATCGTGCGTCCAGGCCCACTGGTTGGTCAGGAAGCAGAAGCCGACAAACCAAAGGAAGGTCCAGAGCCCTGCGGGGGGAAGCGGGCGTGAGGGCTGCATCCTGCAGCTGCCAGAGCCCTGCTGCTCCCGGAACCCCGCCGCTCCCCGGGGCTGGCAGCACACGGCCTGCAGGCACCGTGCCAGCAGCAGCTCCCTGCGCCAGGCACCGCGCAGCCACGTCATGGGACCGCCATTGCCGGGAGCTCGGCCCAGGCCTTACCCGAGAAGCCGAGGTCGGCCAGCACCAGGTACTTGCGGTCGGTGGCGTTGCTGATCTGCGGGAAGTAGGCGTCAACCATGAAGAAGAAAATGCAGGCCAGGAAGGCGAGCACGCCGATGCCGATGCCGTAGCGGCAGGCGTCCTCGTTGCGGTTGAAGACGCAGTAGAGCTGCGAGGAGCGGGGCGAGTTGGTGTAGCCCTCCCCGACCAGGCAGGCGAACACGATCAGGGCGAACACCTGCGGGGCGGCAGCGGCGGCGTCAGGGGGCGGCCCCGGAGCAGAGGGGCCCCGTCGGGGGCTGCCCGAGCCCCGCACCGCCCCGAGCTCAGCTGAGCGCCCCGTGACTATGGCCGGGCACGGGGGGAAGGCCGCGGGAAGGAAAGGGAAGGCTGCGGGAAGGGAAACACAGCCGCGCCGGGCCGGACCGGGCCTCGGAGACGGGGGAAAAGGGAAAGGGAAAGAGAAAGAGAAGGGAAGGCCGGGTTCGGCCGCACGACACAGCAGCGCAGGGCCGCCCCGGCCGCACTCACCGCGCTGGCGATGCGCGCCAAGACCTGCGGCTGCTGCACAAAGCGCACCGGGTCGAAGGCACCGCCGGCTTTAGCCGCCCCGTACGCGCCGCCGCCCTCCATCGCGCCGCCACCGCCGCCGCGCTACGGCCGCTCCTGCGCGGCACCGCCCCGAGAGGGCCGGGCGCTGAGGCCGCCGCCGCCACCTGCTGGGCCCGCCCCGCCCCGGCTGGTGCTGGGAGGAGCTCCGGGGTTGGGGACCGGCGCCGGCGCGGCGTGAGGGGCTCTACGCGGTAGCGCGAATCTGCCCCGCGGCCCGGGCTGCGCGCGGTGCGACTCCCGGGATCCGGCGGGCACCACGCGAGCCCCGCTCCTCGTGACCGCCGCGCGCCTCCCGGCGTGCTCTGTGCCGCGCCGAGATCCGGCCCCGCGCCTACGGGTGCGGTTTGTGTGACTGCCGGCGGTACGGAGCGCCGGAGCGCCCTGCCCCGCGCCCTGCCCGCGCCGCTCGTTGCCGCCCCGTGCCTGGCACCGGGAGGCGCACACGCGAGACGCCGCTGTGCCGTGCCCGCCGCCCTGGGACGCCGCGGGAAGCTCCGGACGTGTCTGCGGCGGCCGCTGGAACCGGGTGCGCTGCCGCTGGAGCAGGGGGAGGGCGGCGGGTCGTGGCCCGGGGCCTCTTCCTGCCCGCAGCCTTTGTCTGTGCGGGGCGGGGAGGGGACGGGGACGAGGATGGGGACGGCGCTCAGCTCCATAGGGCCGTCAGTGGTGGCGGCCGGGATCCGCAACGAGGGGAACGAGCTTTGTGCTCCGGCCTCGAGTGCTCGGGACCTGGGAACGGCTGTTCCGCTGCATTGAACCGATCCGAGCAGAGCGCTGCCGGCTCTCGGCCCCCGGTGGCGGCGCCTCGACGAGCGCTCGCCCCGCATCCTTCCGTGCGCGCTCCTCCCCCCTTCCCTTCCTTCCTGTCTCGCTGCTCGCTCAGCACCGGGCCGCGCGCCCCCTGGGCCGGCAGAGACCCGGCGGACCCACGCTGGCCCTCAGCTCCGGCTCTGTGCCACGAGGGGGACGCGGGGCTGACGGCAGCGTTCGCTGTGCAGGCAGCGTACGGGAGGCAGCGCGGCTCCGGGATGTCCCAACTGCCTGCCTTTACTCTCCGAGTCCCTGAGAACACTGAGAGCGATGGGTGAGTGCGGGCTGAGCACCGCGGGCAGAACTACCCCGCCCACAGCTGTCCTGGACCTTCACCTCCCCCATAGCCGAGTGGGGGTTTCAGCTTTGTGCCCTTGCAGCCAGGAGCCGAGCCCGGACAATGAGGGAGCCCTGCACAGCTCCTTCTGCCAGCTCATTGAGGAGCAGAGCAGTCTGGTGGCAGGAGCAACAGAAATGGAGCTGCAGGAGAGGAGCAGAGGTACAACACAGAACTGCAGCAATGTGGGGTGGGGGGAGACAGTCCTGTACATCTTGGCTCTCATCCTACATCCTCTCTCTCCCCAGAGCCCTCGGCTCTCCTGTTCCCCCTGGACCCCATGGCCACTACTGGACTGGAGCCCGAGCAGGGTGAGCAGCACCCCGGCTACGCCACCACCCTGCGAATCCTGGCCAACATGCCCAGCCGCACCATCGGTGAGTGCCACCCCCTTCCTGTGCCACCCCTCTGCCCCTCCTGCCCGGGCTGTGCCATGCTGTGAGCCCTTCCAGGAGTTCTCCCTAAGGCCGCCCATCCCAGTGCTGTGTTCCTGCCGCAGGGCGCAGCCGTGGGGCCATTATCTCTCAATACTACAACCGCACGGCGCGGCTGCGGCGTCGGAGCGGCCGTCCATCCCTGCAGCAGCTCAGCCGCACAGCACGGCCCAGCCTGCGGCAGTATGACCTGGAGACCGACCCGGCCCACGCCACGCTGGCAGGTGAGCATTCTCCTGGAGTAGGGCTCAGGATGGGCATGATGAGTCTTGTTGGATGCATCCCTCTGAGTTTCTGTGCCTTCAGACAAGCAGAGCCTGCTGGCAAAGGAGCTGTCAAGCCTCCCACCTGCGCAGCGTAGCCAAGTGCTGCTGGAAGTGCCTCTCAGCCTGGAGGAGAAACGCAACCTCCGGTAGGTGCCTGTTGTCTGGACTGGGCTTCTCCCAGCCTGGGATCCCCCTGATGCCCCCTGTTCTGGGCAGGAGGCAGCTGAGCCAGAAGAGGAGCACTCCGGGGCTACGCGCCCACTCTGCAGAACCCACCTCTCCATGTGCGTGGTGCCAGGACTGCATCGTGCTTGTAAGTCTGCAGCACAGTTGCCAGAGCTGGTGGTGATGGAGGCTGTACAGCTGCAGGATGCCCTTACTGTGTCCCCACGCTCCCCAGGGCTGCCGGACCCTCTGGTACAGGTTCCTGGCACTGGTCCATGCCGCACAGCCTTGGCACTACGCCTTGAAGCAGATCAGTGGCCGCTTTGGTTCCAGCGTGCTCTCCTATTTCCTCTTCCTCAAGACGCTTCTGCTGTTCAACATCATCTCCCTCCTCCTCCTTTTGGTTTTTGTGGTGGCCCTGCAGGCTGCCTATCCCCCTGCTGTGGCCAGCCCCCATCCCTTCACTGGCCTCGAGCTCTTCACCGGAGCGGTAAGTGCCACAGTGTTGGTGCTCTGCTGCTTGGGAGCTGCCCCCAACCTGATCCCTGCTCCATGTCCCTGCATCTCGTGCCATGGGGATGCTCTGGTCTGTGCCCTTGTCCCCACTGCTGCCCTTGCCCAGGGCATTGTGCCATACAGGCTGATGCTAACCCCATACCAGGCTGGGCAGAGTGCTGCTGGCACCGGTGAGTTCACTACAAGTACTATTGTGCATTTCCCCACAGGGCTCCTTTACTCACTCACTGCTGTACTACGGCTACTACAGCAACACCACCCTGAACGCCCCCTCTGCCTCCAGCCCCAGTGGCAGCACGAGCCCCTCCAGAGCCACCCAGCTCCCATACAACATGCCACTGGCATACATGTTCACCATTGGAGCCTCCTTCTTTGCCACCTGCATCCTGCTGGTGTACAGGTGAGCAGCACTGCCAGCACTGCCTGACTGCCCAGCACTGCTGCCCTGACTGCCCTGTTGCCTCCTGCAGCATGTACCACTCCTTTCTGAAGAGCTACCGCGTGGGCAGCTCCACAGGGGTCCTGGCCATCAAAATCTTCTCTGCGTGGGACTTCAAGGTGGTGCAGAGGCACTCGGTGAAGCTACAGAGTGAGAACATCTGCACTCAGCTGAAGGTGAGGAGTGGGGTTGCAGTGCTACGTGTATGCCAATCCTGTGCTGCACCTTTGTGCAGCGGCCCTCCAGGTCCCACCTGAGCGAGCAGGATAAACCGTTGCTTTAGATGCAGACCCAGCTCACGTTCTCAGCCACCCTGGCTGCTCTGCTGTCTTCCAGGAGCTGCTGGCAGAGCAGCGATTGCGTTCCTGCCCCCTGAGCCTCCCCCAGCGGCTGCGACACATCGCTGTGCTCCTGCTTGCCTGGCTCCTAGCACTGGGCACGGTGCTGGGCTGCGTGGTGGCCTTGTACTACTTCTCAGAGCACATGCACACGGTAAGCACAGCACCAGGTGAGGCAGAGCAGTGATGGCAGCCCGGCTGCACCTCCCTCTTGCTGTCAGCATTGTGCTTGCTGCTGGGAGCAGTGGGGTTGAGCCCATGGCTGGCACCAGGAACCATGCAGCCGTGCTGAGCCAGGCACCACTCACCAGGTGCAGCAGGAACAGGGAGCTGCAGCAGGCAGTGCGTGGCAGCAGGAAGGAGTCCTGCTGGCCTTGCCGCTCGTCGTGTCGCTCCTCAACACGCTGATGCCCCGCTTCTACAACCTGCTGGCAGCGTGGGAGAAGCAGGATTCCCCAGAGGCAGAGGTCTACGTGGCCATCTGCAGGTAGGGTGGGGAGCCTCCTGCACCCCAGGTTTGCTTTACCCTCCTTTCTCGGGGCTCAGCTTTGCTGTGCCCGGGGCCCAGGGGCTCCCCATCCTTGCTCCTGCTCCCCAGGAACCTCCTGCTGAAGATTGTGGTCCTCGGCCTGCTCTGCTACCAGTGGCTAAGCCACAGACTGGTCTGCTCTGCCAAGGAGGTTGGTACTGGCTGACAGTGCAGGGCTGAGCAGGATGGGATGGGGATGTGTGCCCTGCATTGCCCCTGGCCCAGGGAGTGCAGAGCAGAGCTGGGGCAGTGCTGTGGGCAGGGGTCAAGCAGTGGGGGCTGTGCTGGACGGTTTGCATCTGTGGTGGGGAGAGGGATATAGGTAGCTGGGGAAGGTGTGCAAGAAAGTAAGAAGTTCCCCACCTTTCAAACTCCCCATGAAGAGCCATAGAGGTGAGCAGCTGCACTGCCTGCCTGGCACTACCACGCTTCTATCCCCAGTGCTGGGAGACATGTGTGGGGCAGGACCTGTATCGATTTGTGGTGATGGACTTCATATTCACTCTGCTGGATACCGGCTTTGGGGAGCTGCTCTGGAGGTAATGTGTCCCAGGAGGGCCTACCAGCATGGCCCTTCGCTCCCCATTCCAGCTGGGCTGGCTCTGCCTCAGCACACAGAGGCTCTGCAGCTGCCCAAGGGTGACGGGTGCACAGCAGCAGTCAGCAGAGCTCCTCTCACTCCCTAGGCTGATTCTGGAGAAGAAGCTGAAGAGTAAGCGGAGGCCTGAGTTTGACATTGCCCAAAATGTGCTGGAGCTCATGTATGGGCAGACCCTGACCTGGTGAGACATCTCCAGCCCAATGTGGCTCATCCCCTGCCAGCCAGCGCTCGTGGTGCTCACTGCTGTGAGCCCTGCCTCGTGCCACCCAACAGGTCCTGGTGTAGGCAGCTGCAGAGGCTACACATCCACCAGGGGTCAGTGAAACCTCTGCTGTCTGACCTCCTGCCAACCCCTGATGTGTGGGATGTGCCACCGAGCACAGCCTGTGCAGCCGGCCTGGCATAGGACGTTGTGTGCTTGCTCTTGGCTTTGCGAAACACTGACTGCAGCTGGTACCACTATCCTGGTGCTCCTGAGCCCCAAATTACTCTCCTAGGCAGCTCAGCTTGTCTCTCTCTCTCTCCCAGGCTGGGCGTTCTCTTCGCACCACTCCTGCCAGCAGTACAAGTAGTGAAGCTGCTGCTGCTCTTCTACATCAAAAAGGTGTGATTGCGTCTGCCTGAGAGCAGTGCCCTCCTTGCAGAGGGGCAGAGATGCTGCTTGGGTCCCTCAGGTCTCAGCTCCCAGCTGTTGGATGGGATGGGGACGTGAGGGGGTGCAGCTGCGTGCACTCACTCCTGGGGTCACACTGTGGGAGGTGACAGCATGCTGCTCCTTGCCTGCAGACCAGTCTGATGCAGAACTGCCAGTCTCCCAGCAAGCCCTGGCAAGCATCTCATATGAGTACTGTCTTCATCACGCTCCTCTTCTTCCCATCCTTCTTGGGTGCAGCCATCTTTGTCTCTTACACAATCTGGTGGTGAGTATTCATGGGCACAGAGCCACATGCTGCCAGGGGCAGCACCTACAGGGATGGTTGGCGATGAGGCCCCAACCCAGCTGATGGGGCCCAGCCCTTACAATTCCTGTAAATAGGAGCCAGGGCAGAGCTTAATGTCAGGGGCACTGCCCGGCCACTGCCCTGTGCCCAGCCATGCACTCCCAAAGCAATTTCCCACTGACTCGCTCTGCCTGCTCAGGGAGAAGCCATCAGAAACCTGTGGCCCCTTCCGGGGTCTTCAAACCATCTACCAAACACCGAAGGTCTGGGCGGAGCTGCTGGAGGAGTCCAACCCCAACATCGCCTTGTTTGGCTGGATCCCCCAGTACCTGCTGGAGAACACTGTCTTCCTCTTCTTTCTCACTGGGATGGTGCTGTGAGTATGAGGCTGAACCCTACACACACCTTTTGGGTTCCCCCTGCTGCTTCAGAAGCCCTGAGCCACAGTGACACCATCCCTGCACACCTGTCATTGCAGAGCCGTCATCTATTTCAACATCCAGGTGTTGAGAGGGCAGCGCCAGATCATCTGCCTGCTGAAGGAGCAGATTGCCAACGTGTGTGAGCTCTGTGTGCTCTGAGCCTCTGTCCCTGCAGCTCAGGGCAGTTCTGAGCTCCAGTGGCTCTGGGAAGAGCACAGCCCGCATGACTGCTCACTGCGGTGTCTCTGCTGTTACAGGAGGGGGAGGATAAAAAATTCCTCATTCAGAGGATTCACTTCATTTATGACCATAAAGTGCGCTATGCTTGATGCCAGGTGAGGCCCAGACCCAGGGGAGAGCGCTGGGGGTCGGCAGGGCTGGGGGTCACTGTGCTCCTCTGCTCTGTGCTGGAGCTGGGGGATGGGAGTAGCACAGTGCAACTGTGGAGGAACTGGGACAGGGAACTGGGGGGTGGTGGGCACAGGGAGAGCATCATCCCTACTGTCAGCATGCTGACAGTATGCTGACACAGCTCTCCCTGCTATGAATAACCCCTGGGGCTTCACAGGGACCTTCTGCTTTCACAGACCCAAGAAGGAGCAAGGCAGAACAGGACAGCTCACCAGGAGGAACTGGAGCCAGCAGCTGTGGCAATGCCCTGGGAGCAGAGAACTACTGCACTCTTGAACTATTGCTCTCTCTGAAGCAGCCCGGGTCTCCTGGGCAGTGCTGCAGCACAGAGATAAGGGTGCTCCTTCCGGAGCCAAGAGCACAGCCCCACTGCTGTGTCCCAGCACAGCTCCACGGGACCGGCTTGCGCACACAGCTGTGCTTACAAACAACTCTCCATCATGCAAACTGCCCAGCAGCCAGGAAAAGCAGCACCTTGGATCCCGTTGGAATGGAGGTGGTGAAGTTTTGAAGTTTTCTGCCTTGGAAAGAAACCACCATGGTGTGTGCAGTGAGCAGGGCCGTGCAGCAGGACGGCTCGGAAAGAAACCATCATTCCCCAGTGCTGCGTGGGCAGAGAACAAAAAGGCTCTGTTTGGGGCTGTCACCTCTCTGAAATAACCATTAAATGTCCCCATGTGGAGCCGCAGAAGGACGCTGTGTCGCAGTGCCATGTCAGCAGCCCCGCACAGTGGCGCTAAGAACAGAAACAAACGTGGCGGCTCGGGGCGGAGCAAGAGTTCCAGTGTTTTTTTTTGCTGGGTGTAGCCGGAACCCAGGCAGCCCTGGCAGCTGCCCAGGACGCACCGAAAGCGTTTGGTGTTGCAGCACTCTGAGGGTGGGGGGTGAGAGGGTGAGGGTGGGCAGGGGACTGAGCCATGTCTGTGGACTCGCAATGCCTCAACAGGTCAGCCAGGTACTGGGGTGTGGGAGAATGGGGCTGGAGGCACTGGGGGGAGATGGGGATGGGTTATGGGTGGTGGGAGGATGGGGGTGGTCGGGACCGGGGGGTCTGAGAGTGGGCTGAGGGTGGTGGGGTAGGACAAGACTGGGAACGGGCTGGAAGCGCTCAGCCAGAAGTGGTGGGGAGGCTGAGGGGGGGCCAGGTCGGGGGAAGGGGGAAAGTGAGGCAAGACGGGCACCAGGCGGCCAGGGGTGGGGGGGTCCAGGAGCAGACCGGACCGGAGGGGCAGGACGAGGCCGGGAACTGGCCCAAGAGCTGTGAGACGGGATCAGACGTGGCCAGGTCAGGGAGACGCCTGAACCGTTGTGGCCCTGCTCACGTGTGCTTTTCCCGTGGCAGCACGGGGACTTCCTACAGCAACACGAAGGATGATTTTCAGTTTGGGCTCCTGCGGTCCGCTCCTGGCACCAGACTCCCGGCTCGTGGGGCTCCAAGCCAGGCAGCAACGCAGCACAGCAGCCAACCGCCGAGTCCAGCTTCCTGTTTTTATACAGCTCGCAGCCTGAACGACATTCGTGAGTGTGTGAGGAAGCTCCGAGGCCAAATGGTGGGCTTTGAAAAGCAGCCTCAGTTCCGCCTGCGGGTCGGGGGCCTGGAGGGCACCTTCTACGAAGGGCAGGAGGAGCTGAAGGAGTACTGTGAGGCGCTCTACCTGCCGCAGCCCACCAAGATGGAGGTGGTGGGCACGGTGGATGACGTGCCCTGTCTGGCCATGGGGCAGCAGCTCATCATCCTCGTTGCTGAGAGCGGGGAGGTGTACGCTTACGAGGAGGACACGCTACACAAAGTTGCCAAGAATATGCAAGAATTCACAAAGATCGGGCTGCAGCGCCTGGGGAAAGAAGTCTACCACTGCGGAGAGCACATAGATTCACTGGTGAGCTAGAGGGTGTGGGTGAAAACCAAGGAAAGGCACGCCTGAGGGGGGTGGGATGTCCGGTGCTGATGGGCACCGATCCCACCTCCATCAGTTCCTAACTGCGCCTGGGTTGCAGGATGAGGCGGAGCGAGACAAAGACCCGATAATCCAGGAGCTGAGGCAGAGCGCTCAGCGGTTCCTTGAGGGAGGGAAGGAGGACTTCCAACGTCTCCTGGGCTTGCAGTAGAACAAACCTGTTGTTGCTTGTTGAATCTGCGTGCGTGACAAGGAGTAGAACTATTCCGCATTCCCAAGTGTTTAATCTGCCTTTCCTGTAAACAACTTCAGGGGCGGTGATTCCTGCCCGTCCCTGGGCAGCCTGTGCCAACAGGTCATAGTTGTTTCTGTGGAATTCTTCCTCATATCCAGCCTGGAATCGCTTCAGACCATTAGTTCTCATCCTATTCTCATCCTATTCCTCTTACCTGGAAGCAGAACACAACTCTCACCTCACCACAAACTCCTTTCACAGAGTTGAAGAGACTGGTAAAATCTCTCCTGAGCCTTTGCCAGATTAAATCTCAATGGATTTGCCCTTAAAATTGCACTTTTAAAGGTTAATCATTGTGTAAGCCTGTGTCCTGAAGTGAGATTCTTCTTGCACAAACACAAACTTGCTTTAATCAAACATTAAAGATTTTAAATATACAGGATTTTGACTCGTTTTTTTTTTACCTATGTTAAGAGTGTGACAAACGTTTTGTTCTGCTGTGGTGCCAGCAGGCTTTCAGTCTTAGCAGGAGGGGCTTTTCCAGCTTCCCCATCGGCTAAGTGTAACAGAATCAAGAGGAGCTTCAAGAATTACTTTGTGCAGGCTGTTCAGTGAAGCTGAACCTGTCCTCATCACAGGAGGGGTGACAGTCAGGGAGCCAAGGCTGTGCCTCCATACCAGGGTCAGCTTGCTCCAGCTCCCAGCAGTGAGCACTCCCTCATTTAAAGCCCTCTGAGCACTGCTTGCTGGGTGGGCATGGCAACTCGCTCACTCCCCCCATATAGGGCAACGGGCAGAATTGGAAGGATACAAGCATGAGAAATAGAGTTGACATAAAGCCAAGTCACCAGCTAAAGCAGACCTCTGTAGGTCGAATCCCCCTAAAGCAGGTCCCCCACAGCAGGCTGCACATCTAGGTGGGTTTGGATATTTCCCCATGCTCCAGATGAGGCCTCCACAGGGCAGAGGAGAGAGGATGAACACCTCCCTTGCCCTGCTGGCCTTTCTCCTTCCTTACTCCAGCATGGTCCTACATGGCATTGAATATCCTTTGGTCAGTAAGGGTCAGCTGTCCTGGCTTTGACACCCACTTCCAAGCAGCTCTATGGAGACCTGCACCCAGGGCTTGGCATACCAGCACCAAGAGAGTGCAGAGGGCACACCCTGCTTGTCCTGACAATGACGTGTCTCTTAGATTTGATTTCATTTATGGAAAAACGAAAGTGCAAAGAGCTCAACCACTCCCTTGCACAGTTCTCCCATTGCATACTTTTGGGGAAGTGCATTCTTAGAGCCGCCATATCAGCAGCGGGTTTAGAGGCACCAGGTTGGAGCCAGCACCGTGTCTCCCAGTGGCTGAAGGCAGCGCAGACTCTGAGGACCCTTTGCCTCTGCCAAGTAAGTGCTGCTTTTTTAATCTGATTCTCTGTCAGGGAGGAGGGCAGTGGGATGGCATGGGAATGATAGATGTGCACAGCAGAGTGACCCCACCCCAAAGCTGGCTGCTCGGGGCTGCGCGTGGCATGGAGGGCACTCAGCCTTGGTGATCCTCACCTTGCTGCTCTGCTGACTGCTCTGACCTCACTGCTTTCCTACAGCCCCATAGACCGGAACCCAAGAACTGCAGCGCAGAGCTCTGCATACTCAATGAGTCAAAACCAGGTGGGTGAAGCCTGTCCCTTCTCTCTGGGAGATATAGAGAGATGTTCTCACTTGGGGACTGCTGCTGGCCACTCTGTAGCATCTTGGCCAGCAGGTAGCAGTGGTGCCATCTAGAAATGCTGCGGGACACCCCAAGTCCATGCAGTGCCATCACGTGTGCAGTGGGGTTGGAGGGTCCGTGCAGCACTGCATCACTGAGCTTCCTCTCCCTCCCACAGGGTCCCAGCTACAACTCTTCAAGGTAAGATGGAGCCTCACGTCTCCTGTGCCCCTTTCCCTGGCCATGTGGGGGGGTGACTGCTTGCCCCGCAGCTGGGGGTAACCCCAACACAGCCACCACGTGCTCCTTTCTGCTCCCACAGGATTTTGGCACGGAAAGAAGAGAAGAATAAAATCCAGTTGCTGATCAGTGGGAATCTCTTCATCAAGGAGTTCTTGGAATTGTTGGATAGGTGGCAGCCAGATGAAAACATCAAAAAGCAATACATGGAAAAGGTCAGTGCTTCACCACCAACCTGATGGCCCTTCTGTGGCCTCTGCACTGCTGTGCATCCCATCCGAGGTGGGGGAACTCTGGTGGCATAACTCCCACAGCAGTGGCTCCATCGTGGGTGCAAGGGTCTGCAGGGAAAGGAGTGGGAGCTCAGGTCTGTGGGCTCCCACTGCTCCCTGCTTGTGCAGAGCTTCTGCGAGGTGTGGAGAAACTGCACGGAGCACAGGATGCAGAAAGGGACCACGCAAGGCAATAGGGAGCAGCTCTCGGGGTGGGAGCAGCCATGGCAGAGGCCAGCGCAGAGGCTCTACTGTGCATCCAGGGACAGCTCAGCACTGGGTCTCTGCTTGCCAACAGGTGCTGCACGCAGTGTTCTTCTTTGGAAGGATGAATCAGAGGCAGATAGAACCCAACGAATTCCTACTCTCACAACCTTTCCAGAACCTGAAGGAGAATTATCCTCGATCGTTCCAAGAGTACAACACCCACCTGCCCACCACGTCACCATACTCCATCCTCCTGCAGTTTGTGAGTACTCCACACATACATGGTGCCAACAGCAGGGCTGGGGAAGGGCAGGTGTGTGACAAGTGCAGCACACTGCAGGCACATCCTGGCAGTGCAGCCTAGCAGGCAGCAAAACAGGCAGCAGGACTTCTATTTTTCACTTTTCAAGTCACCATGAGCTGTACAGACCAGCTGGTGCTAACAAACTCAGGGAAACAGAATTATTTTTATCTTTTAAGACCACACTCATCCCCTCTTCCTGCAAGATATTGACTGCTGGGGAGTGAAAGAGGCAAGGAAGGGTCTGTACTGAGATCTGTGTATGTTCCCAGGGCAAGGAAGTAGCAGGCTGCAACACCCAAGAGGAAATGGAGTCTTTCTTGCATGAATTTAATAGCGCTGTGGAAATAGCAATACACCTTCAAGCACACAGAATGAGCCCCAGTGAGTTCGTCTTCAGAGCCGCAGTTGTCGCTTACAGCTTTTACAGAGAACCCAAAGAACCTGAGAATAAAGCAAGCTTCCCTATCTTTTATGGAGCATCTGTCTCCTGCAGAGGGATGATGGAGAAGAAGATCATGATCAGCATCCTGTGCCTCAGGACGTGGCACAAGGCGGTGGCGTTTGCAGTGTACCACGGGCAGGATAACCTGGTCATTGTCTTCCCTGATGAAGTGCAGTGCCGAGCCTTCTGCTACAGCAATGGAGTCTTCATAGAAAAGCCACCCTGCGTGAACTGCAAGATGATGTATCATGTCAACTTCCAGCCGTATGAGGGTGACACCAGGGAAAACGTCCCATGGCCGCACGGAAACTGCGCTGAGAATGAGAGCCTGAGCAAGCTGCTGCAAGGCACGACGGGGCTGCAGGAGAAGGTCGTCTCAAAAGACACTTCTGTGATAAACAATCCCCCACAGAACAACTACCAGGCCATTGAGCAAGAATTTGAAAACAACATACAACAAAATCTTAGAAATCAGCTTATCAGGCTGCTTCAGAACAAAAATCTTCCTCATCGTCTGCAGTTTTTTGAACCATAGTGAGTGCCAGAGAGGCATCTGCAGTGCTGTGTATCAGCACAACACCCCCACGCCCCTGTCTTCCTGCACACTCCATGCCTCCAAACCCAGCTACATGCTCATGCCAGCAGGTTTTGCTCATCTAGGGTGAGGATGCAGCCTGGCTCTATGTCCTGCTAGCAGCACAGTGATAGGATATCCATTTGCTCCTTGCTAATCTCCAGTACACAGGGCTCTGCTTTTCACCTGTGTAAATAAATGTCTGATTTTCAGTTATGTACCTGATGATTTGCAGCAGCACCTGTACATTGTGAAGCCCTCTACTTTCACCTTTGCGTGGCTCCAGAGCCGACAGTCTCACCTTCAGGGACCATCCAGTTTCAGAGCTCCATCTTGCTCTGGATGCAAGCAGCCAGCAGGGCCCTCCCGCAGGTGGCACTCCCTCTGCTGGGGTCTCACAGCCTGTAGGGGAAGGGCAGCACACTCTGAGGCACCCTGAGAAGTGCTGCAGGATTGCCTGCAGACAAAGATGGCTTGGGTTTATGTTTCAGTTTTACCATGGAGTACCGAGGAGCTGCTGCCTGCCATCAGCCTGTCACACTGCACAGGTGCTGGGGCCAGGTTAGCTAGGGTCCCTGAAGGTGGTCTGAAGCCATTGCAGGACATCAGCCAGGCCGGTGCCATCGCGTGCACTGGTTTCCAGAATGGTGATGGGCTGCGTGGCGCAGGAGACAATCTCTTGCATGCGGAACAGCGACTTCATCTCCACCAGTGACATGTAGCAGGGCAGGTCGCTATGACGGGAGGGGGCACACATTAACCACACTGCTTTAACCTCCCACCCACAGCAGCACCGCACTATCAGGGCCCATCGGCCCCTCGGGCTGCTGGAAACGACACAGGAACCGCAGAGCCCCGATGCCCTCCTTACATCTTGTTGAAGAGGATCAGCACGGGCACGGCGGCGAGCTGCTCTGCGGAGAGGAGGGACAGCAGCTGGACGCAGGACGCGGAGACCTGGGTCGGGTTGGCCGCATCGATCACGAACTGCAGAGAGGGAAAAGACGCTTGAGGGGTCCGAGGGGGGCAGTTCCACCCTGCAGCGCGGCCGGGCGGGCGCTCACCAGCACGGCGCTGCACTCCCCGTAGTAGCTGGGCCAGATGGGGCCCATGCAGCCGCCCAGCTCCCGCAGCGTCACCCTCTTGTGCAGCGTCAGGTCCGTCAGGTTCGTGCCCACCGTGGGCAGAGTGGCCGGGGGTTCGCCCAACTCCTTGGCCCCGTCCCGGGAGCACAGCTGTGCCGGTGCGTTAAGGACGGGCCAGAAGCAGCGTGCGGCACGCCCCCACCCCGGCCCCGCGCCCCGGGACCCCCAGCTCGCTCGGATATTGCGCAGCCGCTTCCCCAGCAGGCTCTTCCCGACGCCCGTCGCCCCCAGCAGCAGGCACGTGGGTCCGGGCCGCGCAGCGCCCGCCATCCCCGCCCCGCCGGAAGCAGCGCGCGCCCCCAAGCCGGAAGGCGGAAGTAGCCGAAGCCGGAAGTGACCGCGGGCAGGGAGAGGGACGGCTCGGCGGCGATCACCATGGGGCGCGGCGGCGGCACCTTCGAGCGGCTTCTGGGTAGGGGCTGAGTCTCCCCGTGGGACGCGCCTCCGGCAGGGCCGACCTCGCGCGGCTCAGCCTCGTGTAGCAGAGCGGCCCGGGCCCAGGCGCTGTGGCTGGGCCGATGCTGCGGCGACGGCTGTGGGGGGGGGGGGGGGCGTGGCGGGGCCCGGGGTTGCGGATCCCCACAGAGAAACCGGAGCTTTGTCTGCAGCCGAGCGCTGCCCTGGGGCATCGCGGCTGGCACGTCGGGGGCTTCGATCGAGCCCTGCGGCTGCCGCTTGCAGCAACCTGAGAGGGGTCGCGGTTCTTTGCAGATAAAGCCACGAGTCAGCTTCTGCTGGAGACGGACTGGGAATCCATCCTGCAGATCTGCGACATGATCCGCCAGGGAGACACGCAGTAAGCGCCCCTTTGCGTTTTGGTTTAAGCTGTGAGCACAAATCTGCTTGCGTGCGGAAGGTGAAACATGGAGGTCTCACTTTGTCAGCCTGTGGCTGCTCACTGTGCTGTTTCAGAGAAGAGATGAGAGGCAGCACCCCTCAGTGTTCTGGAGTACCCTTCCTGACCTTAGTAGCTGCAGGTTATATCTGCCCTGAAAGCAATAGAGAAGCTCAAGCTTGGATATGTGCAGTCCTCTTCCCACTTTTCCTTGTGGGGAATTGAGTGCACCATGAGCTAACTGTACTCTTCTGTCACTGGGAGGGTGATAGATTAACCTTGTAGATTCGTCTTTACCTGGGCATATGTGCTCTCTTTCCTTGTCCAGAGCAAAATACGCAGTCAACGCTATCAAGAAGAAGGTCAATGACAAGAATCCCCACGTGGCACTCTACGCACTGGAGGTAACTTCAGCCCAAACCTCTCATGATTTAGGGGCCCAATTCACAAGCCAGGGAACTTCCCATCTCTTCCAAGCCTGCCTCTGCTCTAGCATGGAGGCTTCAAGAATGATTGTGTTTTTCATTCAGCCTTGGAGCAAGCATTTGAGAGACTATCTTTATAAAACTGTCTGCTTGCCCATGTGGTATAAATAGCAATGGTATAAACTGAAGCATAGCTTATGCTCCAGTCTCATGGTGTGGATTTCTCCAAATTGATGCTTCCTTAGCTTGAATTGTTACTTAAATAGTGCCCCCTTTGTGCACCTGCTGCAAGAACCCATAACTGAAACACAGCTTTTTTGTTCTTTCACTGCAAACCACAGAGAAGGAAGAAAGCAACAGGCTAATGCTGCCCTTTGCACTTGCAGGTTATGGAGTCTGTGGTTAAAAACTGTGGTCAAACAGTTCACGATGAAGTAGCCAACAAACAAACTATGGAGGAACTGAAAGAAATACTCAAGGTAAGCGTATGTTATTTTACTTCAGTTTTTGAATGAAGTTGCAAGAGAGGCAATGAAAGGAAAAAAAAACATGCATGTTCTGTGTTTCATTCTCTGCATGTAAGGAAATCTTTTTCAGAGAAAAGCAACCTGTACTGTTTAATACAAAGGGATGAGTGTAGAGAGCTGACTGGTGCCTGCTGGGGAGAGAAGATATCATGAGAGCAGGGGGGTTGGACTCTATGATCTCTGGAGGTCCTTTCCAACCCCTACAATTCTGTGATTCTGTGTTAATGTTTGGTTACACCATGGGTGGGATTATGCTGTAAAGGCACAGACTGTTTCATGATAGGTGCTGTTGTGAATTCCCTTCCCATAGACCAGGGTGAGGCATGCAGGAAGGTGAGCAGCGTGGTGGAAGTTTCATCTATATTATGGCCTTTTCATTGGCATGTGGAACTGGCCCGAGGAGTTTTGCAGGACGTAGACCTGTATCACTTGTCAGTGTGATAACACGATGCCTGCAGGAGCTCCTTATGTCCCAGGACTTGAGACTTCCAAAAGTGAGGTGCAAATAAGAACCTCTTCAGTTTCCAGTCCCAAAAACAGCAGTGCATAGACAAGAGCTTGTTAGAGTGATGCTGTTACTTCTTTATATCCCTGTCTCCTGCTGGAAATAGACAAGTAGATGACCCACATATTTGTGGAGTGAGCTGTGCTAGTCCTGTCATCTTCTGCAACGTAGCAGAGCATCTCTCTTCTGTCATTTTCCTCTTGGGGGCTGATTCAGCCTTCATACTGTATCTCCTGTTGAACTTAGAATGCTGCCACAATGTGAAGGCCAGGTGTAGTAGTGCAGCCACTCCAGGCTCTGAGGAAATCACATCAGATTGGATTGAGAGATTTTGTGAAGCTCTCCAGTCCTTACCTGCCTCAAGCAGTTTGCAGAGGCATTTCCATCCTACACTGGGAACGTTGCATGTTCACAAGCAGCTTTGTTCTGATGAGGCTCAGGGCTGTGCCATTTGTGGAAAGCAGGATCTTGACAATTCTTCTGTAAGTTTGGAGCTCCAGGAACTATTACTAAGTCCTGCTACGTGGGCTGAAAATAGGTACCTGACAAAAAATTTCTCAGCTGAAATAGGAAATTGACAATGCCTTTCTGCTTCCTGGGTGACTTCTGCTGAAACTGGTCATGTGAGCAGGCCATGACTTGGTCAGCTGATGACAGGGTGCACTTAGAGGCTGACTGGGATAGGAATGGGCTTGCCAAGTTTCCTCTTGAGCAAGTTCTTGAGCTGTGATACAACTGCCTGCAAAGGGCAGGCTCCCAGCTGTCCTTATTGCATCATATCCAAACTAGTTTTGAGTACTAACGGGCAGGAGTCTCTAAGCTGGAGCTGCTGACAGCTAGGCACAAACAGCCTCCTGCTTTGTGTTTGTGGTGCCCTATCAGAACTGGGGAGAATCACATTGTGCTGTCCTGTCCAGCCTGATGGCTCTCACTTTGCAGGTTTTGGAGTGCAGGATGATCAGCTCTTGTGAGAGGGTAAACAAGATTGTTGGCCAGCCAGTGCTTACACTTCCCCTGGGGAACAACTGTATGAGTCTCTGTAGATGTTTTCCAAAAGCACTGTGACACTACACCCCTTTTCAAGTTGATTTGTGCCATTCTGAAGGATGTCCTCCTATTTATGCTGAAGTGAGAAAGTGAGAAAGCTGAAGGAGATGTAGTCCTTGCTGTAAGCTGTTCTGCTTGCAGCCTGCTGGCACAAGTACTTCAAGTTCCTCTTTCTATGAAGAGTATTTGACCCATCTTCTGTGTTTCAGGGATTTTTTCTTCAGATTTCTTTTTTTTCCTTCCCCTTTCTGTGCAGAGGCAAGTGGAAACAAGTGTCCGCAGTAAGATTCTGAACCTTATCCAGGCCTGGGCTCACGCCTTCCGCAATGAGCCCAAGTACAAGGTGGTGCAGGACACCTATCAGATAATGAAGGTTGAAGGTAAGGATGCTGGGGGCAAAGGTGGGCCGACAGTTGCCAAGCAGATCTGCTTTGGAGGAGCTTTGCAGAAGGAATGGGCTTTGGGTCTCAGCTTGGCATTGGTGGAATCTAGACTGAAGATATTCCACATGCAGGAGAAGCCCTTCACCATGGAGCGCTGTCTGTTCTCCCACAGGTCACGTGTTTCCAGAGTTCAAGGAAAGTGATGCCATGTTTGCTGCAGAAAGGGTGAGCTTCCCTGCTGGGGAGGGAGCTGGTATTGCAGGGCAGACCTTACTGTTGTAGCCCAAGAGATATTAAACCTTCAGTTCTTGCTTTCTTCTATTTCATACAGATTAGAGACCTTGCTGGGTGCATACTGCTCCCAGCTATCATTTGGGCAATTCTGAGTCCAGCAGTTTGGCCTAAAATGGCTAAGAGGGAGGAGAGAGTTGACCCTGTCCTGGTCAATTAGTCTCATCTTGCTAAGTGCCTGCAGCAATTAGACACATCAATACAATGGGAAAGACATTACAGCACATCACACAGTGTGATGACGAGAGGACTGGCATAATAGAGAGGTGCTATAAAGCAAAGGAAGAAGATTGCTCACCTATATCAGAAGATCCTAGGTTCACAGGGAAAAGCTTCACTAAGGAGGGATCTCCAGGAAGAGAGCCTTCCCCAGTGGCAGTCAGCCCTTAAATGAGGTGTAAGAGAGCTGCAGCCAGGCTCCAGCCCTTCTGGTTGCACAGCTGAATTGCCTTCACCTGGTGCTCCCGGGGCTGACCGGGTCCTTTCCCCAGGTGCTCAATCAGTGGTTCAGGCCAGGATGCAACAATTATCATACAGAAAGGCCCCACAGAAAGGACCTACCCAGTGGCTTTCCAGCAGCATGGCAGACTGACTGTGGTAGCAGGGCATGGCTGAAGTGATTGCTGTAATCCTGTTGACTGGGAAAGTGTCACAGTCTAGTAACACAAGAGGTGACCGCTTGCAAGGACCAACATCCCTTAGAGCTGTAAATGCTTTTTTTCCTGCCTCATTCATGACAGCTTTAGTTAGTCAGAGGAGATCCTGAAAGGCTCTGTGGAGCCACCATCCTTGAGACATTGCTCCCTTCCTCACACAAGTTTCTTCAAACCCAACAGGCTCCAGACTGGGTGGATGCTGAGGAGTGTCACAGGTGTCGAGTGCAGTTTGGTGTGGTGACACGAAAGGTGGGTGCTATTCCTGCCTTTCTGGGTTCCCTGGCCTCTTGCAGCCCCTCCAGAAAATGCAGGATTCCTTGAGCCTGTGTGGAATTGCATCTGGGTGGGAACATGTTCCTGTCTGAGTGAACTTGTCCAGCGGTGAAGAAGTGTCTCACTACCACACTGATGTCTCCCATCTTTTCCAGCATCACTGCAGGGCCTGCGGGCAGATCTTCTGTGGCAAATGTTCTTCCAAGTATTCCACCATCCCCAAGTTTGGGATTGAGAAGGAAGTGAGAGTCTGTGAGCCCTGTTATGAGCATCTCAACAAGTCAGTACCCTTTGTGGCATGTTTGGTTTTTTTTGCTTTCAACAGTTGGTACTGTGAGGGGAGAAACTTGACATGGAGCCATCTCTCCAAAGACCAGTGCAAAGGGTCTCCCAAGCTTTGCAGGCTACCTGGGTTTTGTTCCTTCTGAGGGTGGGCTTTACAGCTGTAATGTTGTGCAGAACTGGGGTTCCAGTGCTGAGGAAGGAGCTCATTCTGCACTGTTACCTCTTTCTGGCTACAGGAAAGCTGAGGGTAAAGCTGCTGCTGCCTCTGAACTGCCCCCTGAGTACCTGACCAGCCCCCTCTCTCAGCAGTCCCAGGTGAGTGGCTCTCCTCACTAGGTGACCTAGTGATCATGGCCTGCTTGTTGATCCCCTTAGTGGCCACCTCCTCATCTTTCTCCTTGCAGCTGCCCCCAAAGCGTGATGAGACAGCTCTGCAAGAAGAAGAAGAGCTCCAGCTAGCCATTGCCTTGTCTCAGTCGGAGGCTGAGGAGAAGGAGAGGATGGTTCGTACCCTGCTTGGCATCTGGGAGTGTATTTTGCCATGCAGCCCAGATGTGCTGGGTATCTCCTAGCTGTGCAGTAATAAATCCCTAGGCATGTCCTGGTATGTGAGAGGTATGGGGGCTTGTGGAATGAGATCAGGGTGAAAAGAGAGCCAGGCATATGTTGTGTGGCACAACTGAAAAATGAAAGCAAGCTGTACCCCGGATACAAGCCCTGGGGCCTGCCAAGCTGTGAGAATTGTAGAGCATGACGCTGGGTCTGCTGGCTGTGCCTGGACACCACGAGGGGATTCACCTCCCCATTGTGCCCAGTGTGCTGCTGACTGGCTGACAGGGATGAATCCGGACAGTCTCTGATTTTCTTTCTTTTTTTTTCTTTTTTCCCCATCCTTTTTGCAGAGGCAGAAGACAAGTTACTCCATGTACCCGAAGGCTGAGCCCACACCGGTCACGTCGTCAGCCCCTCCAGTGGGCACGCTCTATTCTCCACCTGTGGTACGTTCACAGGAGCCTCTAAGCATGAAGTAGCTGGGCACAGGCCAATTTCACAGCCCAGCTCTGCCCTGCTTGGGTCAGATTTGATCCCAAAGAGAACAGTTTTGCTCCCTTCAGTCCAGTGTTTTTTCGTAATTCTAGGGTGTTTTTGGCTGGAAAATCAGATAGCATTTAGATGCCGCTGGCATGTGGTTCAGGCTTACAGTAGATGTAGTCTGTATCTGGCTGAAGGAGATAGCTGTACCCCTCTCATTCTGTTGCTCAGCACTGGTTGTTGTGCATGGCCTGGTCAGGGCAGGACAGCTGGTGCAAGCTGCAGTTTTCTGATTTCTCTAAACTGGATTCCCTGTTCACCTCTTTCCAGAATTCTTCTGCTCCCCTGGCTGAAGACATTGACCCTGAGGTAAGGATTCAGGACTGATGAGTCTACGGTGCAGGGCTGCTCCCAGCAGCGCTGTGATGCTCATCTTCCCTCTCTTCCTGGCAGCTGGCTCGGTACCTGAACCGCAACTACTGGGAGAAGAAACAAGAGGAAGTTCGCAAGAGCCCCACCCCATCAGCACCTCTGTCTCTCACAGAGCCAGTTGCTCAGCCTGGGGAAGCCCACCCTGCCCCGCTCAGTGTTGTTGAGGTAAAAGGGGGCCTGAGCCAGCAGCTCGTCAAGTACGAGAAGTGCCCGATTCACCCATGCAGCCCAGCTCCACAGAGTTACTGCTGGCTCTTGGAATGGGTGAGCTGAGGCCGACTGGTTGCCCTGTCCTTCCAGCAGCAGTACCAGAACGGTGAGTCAGAGGAGAACCACGAGCAGTTTCTGAAGGCTCTGCAAAATGCGGTCACCACGTTTGTCAACCGCATGAAGAGTAACCACATGCGAGGCCGCAGCATCACCAACGACTCTGCCGTATTGTCCCTCTTCCAGTCCATTAACAACATGCACCCCCAGCTGCTGGAGCTGCTCAACCAGCTGGATGAGCGCAGAAGTATGTGGGAGCTGTCCTACCCTGGGCTGGGCGTCCTGGGGAGGAGCAGGTGGCTGCCAGGGCATCCCCAGAGTCAGCATTTGGCATTGCCGTGACACAGCTTGTCTGGAGAGAAGCCAGGGCAGTGTACAGGGATGGTCTGAGTGTTCTGCACTGAGAGGATCCCTGAGGCTCTCTTTCCTTCCCCAGTGTACTATGAAAGCCTGCAGGACAAACTGGCCCAGATCCGGGATGCGCGTGGGGCTCTGAATGCACTGAGGGAGGAGCATCGGGAGAAGGTGCGGCGTGCAGCAGAGGAAGCGGAGCGCCAGCGCCAGATCCAGCTGGCCCAGAAGCTGGAGATAATGAGACAGAAAAAGCAGGTGAGGCAGAGCAGCATTTCCAGCATGGGTCTACCTGCACACCTGTATGCACTGTAGGCCAGCCAGAGTTGGCAAGGACAGCTGTCCTGACAAGAGGAAGTGCTGCTGTGTCCTAGCTTGCAGCCGTCACAGCACCAGCATTGTTCCCACAGGAGTACCTGGAGATGCAGCGTCAGTTGGCCATCCAGCGACTGCAGGAGCAAGAGAAGGAGAGGCAGATGCGCCTGGAACAGCAGAAGCAGACCATCCAGATGAGAGCCCAGATGCCAGCTTTCTCACTGCCTTATGCCCAGGTCTGACTGCTGGGCAAGAGACCCTTCTGCCGGGTCCTGGGAGCCATGGCCTAAAGCTTGCTTTCCTTCCTTCAATAGCTTCAGGCCATGCCAGCAGCCAGTGGAGTGATCTACCAGCCCTCGGGGCCCAGTAGCTTCCCCGGCACCTTCAGCCCCGCTGGCTCTGTGGAGGGCTCTCCCATGCACAGTGTATACATGAACCAGGCAGCACAGGGGGGCACAGGACCGTATACAGCAATGCCTGTCACTGGGACAGGTATGTTACCGTGCTGATCTGGTGTGGGCAGAGGCTGAACAAAAGGCAGTTGCTTCCATCTCTGCCCTCTTCGCTTCAGATCCCAACGTGGTGAATGCCTACATGTACCAGCCAGGGGCAGGCAGCGGGCAGGCGGCTCAGCAGGGGCAGGCAGTGCCCACTACAACCCCAGCGTACTCGTCCTATCAGCCAGCTGCAACACAGGGCTACCAGGCAAGTGAGGGCAGCTGCTGCAGAGCAGCTGGTGGCCAGGTGGGGCAGGGCTGGAGTGTTCTGTGGAGCTGGTGTCTGTACTCCAATCCCAGCCGTGGTTCTTGAACCTTTAACCAGCGGGAGGAGGAGCTGGTTGGTCTCAGATCTAGAGCTGCTGTGCTGCTTTCCTTGTGGGTGTGGGCAGGGATTAGACCCAGCCCTAGGCTCTCTACTGTGCAGAGGAAAGTCATGCCCTACCTGCTTCCAGAGAAGAGCCCTGCTGGTCCTAGAG